TTCTTCAAATGGTCCAGCTTAAACTGTACTCACGGTGTTTAAAGACAGCTAAACGGAGACAAAGTTGCTATTTGTACCGAGACGGGCACTTAGGCAAACTGACGAGGAACTATTTGATAATATTTAATTAAGATTGCGTTGGTTCCACTTGGAGTATGTTGTGTAGGTCTGGCAACTAGGACTCAAGAAGGATTATTACCTGCTCGAGCGGATTCAGGCGAGAAATTCGAGGATTTTGGAGAATCTTGAGGTTCTACCATACGAAAACAGATGGACTAAGCCTAGTTTAGTTCCTCTAAGTCACGGACGACTGTTCGATGACCTCATCCAGAACTACCTCATTGTTCCAGGTTCGGATAATTGTTTTAGCTAGGTGAAATGGACTATCTTCCTGGACTCTGCTTTATTGGTAGCGAAAGTTGGCTTATGCGGGCATCTGACGCGATGCCTTTTTACAGAGTGTCCCTGAAACCAGGGACGAAACCTCTGCCGCTGTAGTGCCTTCAGGCATTCTTAAGACACTAAAATACAGATATGATACATCCTTATTAGAAACTGCTGTACATGAAGACGAGATTATATCGGTGGTGACAGCTAGCTCCTCGCCGAACAATGTCGAAGAAACTATATTGTGCAATATCATTGTCATGAAGATTTATTTCTTTGAGTTTTTCAGATATGGGTGGGGAGCTCAATGACGAATGTCTTATTTGCTTATTAAGAAGCTGGAAGAAGCAATGGCAAAAACTAATCTTTTCGATCCGTCCATAAACTATCAGTTCGCAAACTGCCAGTAGGCCTGCCTTTCCTGATATCAATCAGAACTGCTCAGACGAGACTCCTGTTAAAACACAAGACAGTGCATGGGATGGGCTATATTGATCGGGATTACATTTCTTCATTTGGCACATAATGGTAACCTCTTGGGGACTGACAAATTTATTACTGCTATTTTCAAAATATTTACGGGTAACCCTGGAAGCCATGTGGGCAAAAATAAGCTCCAGTGGCAAATTTCTAACAGCCTACAAATGGTCTGTATAGTCGGTTACCTAAGAAGGCAATTGTAGCACACATCTGCATGCAAGAAAATAGGCGCGTTGAATCAACGTCTGACTGGCCGCTCACAAAATGTTCGCCGTGTAAATTTGGCAGCGATTAATATGTAGCAATTCTGCTCGTTAATAGTTTCCTCCTATTATGTTTTAAAGCTATTAGCGTTCAATGTGAGGGAAATTTTCTGGCTATTGGTCGCACGCGGCGCTGGCAATGATTCATTAAGAATTCCAATCCGAGACGAGTATACGCTAGCCTCCGTCAGAGGCATACCTAGTATTTTGACGCTGGGCCGGAATCGGAAACCTGTCGAACTCACATATTCGCCTGCAGTTTAAACAGATTTTTTGGATGCTACTGAAGATTCCGAAAATGCCTACGCTGAACAAGTATATCAGCTGCTCGCTTTTCTCATCTTAATGGCTATCCCAAATACTTGCTTTCGTACGGGTTGTTCCAGCCTCTCTTTCATCGGGGCAACTAAAATCACACCTCAGTTGTTGTTGTGAGTAAATATTACGAAAAGGGTAGTTAGTCTTTCCTGACTGGTTGTTACCTTTTTTCACGGAAATTCTGTGTTTACCAGGAGGTAAAAGGACCACATCAGCAAGTACTACACGGGTTACGACGAAGGAAGCATTGCCCATAAATACAGCAGGTTTGTTTAATGGGTGTTAAAAACACTTGCTAATGTAATATACATATTGTTCCCGCGCCTTAATAGTGGCCGAAATATTTCCATTTTGTCTAAAACTTACTTTTGATGATCGACAAACCTGGGCTGAATGCGTTACAAGCTCTCATCCGCCGTAAGAAGTCTCATTATCTAGTGGCCCCGGCCCGCGCCTGACCTAAAATCTTTCCATTGTCTGCGAATGCTAGGTTGTTGTTTTAAATGGAGTCGTTTGCCTAATCAAGAAGAAACAAAGATTTCAACACAGACCTATAAGCGGCATACCTCTAGTTCGACTATTCAACTGGTGCTTCGCATCAAAGCCCTGTGTGGAAGGCCATATATAACAGAACATTCATTATATGGCCGATTACCTTCATAGCTCGTCCACAGTAACAAAACTTATGCGTAAGTGGATGGTGGCCGACTGCTTCGAATAGTCTGGGGAGATGTAGATGAATAACATTAAATTATTTTACAGCACCAGGCCTCCACCTATGCATTTCAACCCCGGCGCGAATGTCCATGAGATGCAATTCTTTGCGAATGGAAGCGAGGAGGCGAGTTCCAGGAAGTAGCGGCGGAGAAGGATACACAATCTTTGGAACATGTGGTTTTTTATCATGACTTTTCGGCTCTCCAATTGGGGCTTTATTTCTTTCCTCCCTAATGCTGGCGCGGCTCATTCGACGGGACTCAAACACACATTCAAGTTTGACGAGACAGAAATCCTTGATAGATGCGACAACCGCGTGAGCCGTAAACTGCTCGAGTCATGGTTTCCAGGCCCTCAGTCAGTTAGCAATCGCCCCGACCTCCCCTCTCCATATTCGGGGCTGAGACTTAGTCTAAGCGAAATAGTTAATCGCGGGGAGAACGTGCAGATAACCACCGTCCAAGTATGAATGTCGGCGAACCAAACCACCCAAGAGTCCGCACGGATGACGAAGTCCGGTAATCAACCATTCGGCGGCGTACGATGAACGCGGAAGCCGATAATCTTGAATGACATACAGGCGCCTAGCAACGGCATGACAACGGCACACTAAAACTCCTGGCCAGTCGAGATTTCATGCACTCGGGAGCTGCCAATTGTGATAGGCATGTAGCGGCCTAGCAACAAGATCCTATAAATATTACAACACCTGGGTAATCCACTACCCTTATGTGACTCTGTCACTGAGGATAGATTCGAACGAGAATTTGAAACGTCAGGCTAATAAAGCACTTGTTCCAGCATCACATTTATTTGTAGCAAGATACACACTAAACATCTAAATATGCGGCACTATCGCTCATGAAAAAACTTCCGTGTGTTAAGTGCAAAAACTGATGGGGATGTATAAGTGGTTGCTAAGAGTCTCTTCTGTTTTGCGATGTGGCAATGGATTAAGTGAAATCGCTTTCAGTGCCAGGTTAATAGAGACTAGCTCTTACAAGTTATCAGAGAAGGTAATTAAGGATGGGACAATAATCCTTGAGGAATATAGGATAAATGGGTTCCCGTTGTTTCGCAGGCCTTAGCTGGGATTACCAACGCCCAACTTCCTTTGGATCATTTGAAATTCAATGCCGAAAGCAGCCCAGAATAAGAATACTATCCGAAGTGCTCAAGGAATGCAAACGAACTAAGAGATATAACAGCAAACTGGGTTAAAAAGTATTCAATAATTTAGAAAACAACGAAATTCTTCAACTTTTGCATGTGTAACCTTTATATCACTGGATATACTGTCATTACCTTGAACTTGGTAATTGTTTTTTTATATCGAAAACCACTTCTGACCTTGAGGCCGCAGTTCGACCCGTGGCGGGACCTACATCTGCAGCACTTAAAGAAGGAGCACCCGGAGCCGTCCGCAATGGCAGAAGCGCATTCGGCCGTCGCGTTTTCATTCGCTGGTAACTGACACAAAACTCTCTTAAGACGTTCAGCCATTTATGGCATTTGGCGCTTGGGCATACCATTATTAGTAATCTGAAGTTCACCAATAGTATGTCGGGCTCTTTTTCTCCCCCTACTATTCTGCTTTTATCTTGAATATTTCAGGTTGTGTTGGTAGTCAGAAGTGTGTGTGAAGCCTTAAATTCTTACCTTAACCCGCAGATGACCGTTTTTGCGACGGTCATTTTATTAAAATGTTGCCACGTCTAGCCCAATCGTGGCCCAACCGTAGGATTGGGCCATATGTTGGTAGGTTATCGAAAAGTAGTTCAGTCAATAATATTGTAGTCGGCGCGAACGGTTTGATACAGAACTGTCTTGGGGTTATTTACATATGAATATGGCGTTTTTATCCATTTACAGGGTCTGCGGGTAGTTGGTGGTGCAGCAATTCCCTTGACTGTTTTTTTTTTATGGTCCGCTAGTACATCCAGCTGCACCTACATATGCAAATACATACACATATATTACCTCGTAGGCCAACAACTAATAAGAAAACGATTGACATGTAAACTGTCACATGAACCTCTTAATCGGTTCAATTTTTTCGCCACATTAAACTAAGCTAAAACAGACCTTATTTAAGTCCTATTATTTCCTGGGTAAACGTTGACGACTCGATTGTATGAACGTGTTCTATTAATTAACTATTCTGCTTACGCCATCGCATTGTCCTTTAAGATAAATTGTAATACAATATTTGTGAGTGACAATGGCCTAAAGCAACTCACTTATCGAAATTTAGCCACCTATTTAGACTCAGTTGTCTTTAACTGACTTTCCATTTTAGTCACATCGGAAGGCCTCACCTATGACCTTAATACAGAAGTTCTTAGAGCACTAGCAAAGTCCACAATTGAATCATGGAAACATTCGGCTTCACGCCTCAAGGTAATTATTACCGAGCAATCGACACATCTGTCTTTTGATAGAATTCAATATACAGCAAGTTCTACCCATTCCACGTGACGAGCTGGTTCATTTTTGCCGTTGCGGTCTTCCTCGCTTCCTTCTTCGATGTCTACGCTAGCAGATATCCTGTGGCCGTCATCGAAAATTTTCTGAAACAGTAAGCTGAATGTGGATTTCCCTTCCCTATCCTTTTAATTCCGCAATGCATACTGAAAAACATAAATTCTCTTCAAATAAATAAGGCCTCTTCTAAGCGTTAAATATTACTTCGATCATATCAGGCACTGCGGATTGACGCTCTCATATCACATGTTTGGATGTTTGATCTTCGCATTTCTCCTCTGGTCACTCGGATCGATGGTGAACCGGCTGCTGTTAAGAGCACTACTTAGTAACACCGGATGGATCTACAAAATGCCTAACAATATCGACGCCAGCGTGAAAATTTGGGCTGTATGTTTTCAACATTACCTTTTCACATAAAAAGGCTTGAAGTCGTTGTTTTTCTTGTACATTATTTTGCCGATATCGCAGGTAACAATTTAACCTCTCGATTATATGCCTTTATTTGCTTTTCAGTATCTTTTAAAGCTTCTTCAGGGAAGAAACCCCCGTCTTTACAGTTATCAAAACAGTCTACCTAGCCTTCCTCTCCCTAGCCTACGTGATACACTGGAACGTGTAAGTTCTTCTATCGACTTTGTAAATTGCAGACTGCCGCTACTATTGTTTGATGTAAAGCTGCGCGCACTCCATTTTATGGTCGTATGAGTCTGCTTCGGTCATTCAGTGCGGATGGTTTTTCAAAACTATTGGGAGAAAGGAACTATCTCAGTAGTTCATCCATGAGAGGTAATATGGCCAGGCCACATTCGGGCAGAGGTACTCTTGAATCTATCGTGCTTCCGTCGCGCTGATCACGCTATCACACCTTGCAAGAGTCCATTTTTGAGACGCCTATATAATAGCAGCAAAAATGTCTCCAGATCGTTCGGTTATTTCATCAGAGGTCCTTCGTGCCAGGAACTTGAACGGTGTGCTTCAATTTGCACCAACTCTTCTGAAATAAGAAGTCTCCGGAGAGTTTTGCTCTCGGAGGTGGATATGGGGGAGCTCGAGACAGGGCCAAGATCCCTAAGATGGTTATTATAAAATTTCTTCACAGGACAGGCCTTAGCAACAGCATGTAACCAGAGCGTACTTGGCGAAAACTGCTCACACAGACGGACGGAATTGACCCTGCATATTCGAATAAGTATTTAGTCCAGATCATTTGGACTATGACCGTTTTTTGAACACCTAATGAATGTATCTCTTGAGCCAAATATTTGTGTTAACTAGACGACCCATGGCACCCGTACTAAAGTGTTTTCGTTCAGGCAAATTTTTATGCTATATTTCCAAACATGTCTCCCAGACGCCTCGCCTTCCTCTTTCTGGCATTGTCATCCCGCGCAGAAAAGAAAGACTCCAGTCTACTGATCGTGGTCTGGATACGTCCCTCACAGCGAGCAATAGCGGTTAAGGAATTCACATAATAATGGATAATTACGAATGGTCAAATTCAGTTCTATGGCCTTCAAGTGGGTCTCTGAATAGTTGTCCAACTTTTAAGTTCGCATTTCTGGGAAAAATCTTTGAAAGAGGTACACAAATGTCCCATCGGACTCGGCCGCGCTTTAGTGGGAGGTCACCATATCTATCCTTATTGCAGCAACGCAGCTACTAACTCCGCTAACCGGCAGATAAGTCCCTGTTTCTCACGCGATATTTGGTCCTGTGCGACGAGTGTTACATTTATTTAGGGGCCGTCCGTAGAAATATATTAATAAGCCGTGTTCCATCACTCAAGTCTGGTTTTTGCAGGCGGATATAAAGCGGACCACGTTTGATTAACTTGCTGCATCTTCAGCGACTCAGAAAATTTCCCTCTCTTTCCACATAGTACTTGGCCTCTGTCCGGTGTCTGCACACAGAAGCGGACTTTGCCGAACTGTGTCGCAAGGCTAGGGAATTCCGCAAAGGCAGCGGTCGAAAGCTGCAGTTCTTCCTGAACGTCAAATACTGGCTCACCAGCAATTATGTAAGTCCCATTTTCCGTCGAACCCACTGCACTCGTTCACACCTCCCTCGTTATTCGCTCATTTTTTGTGTTCTTGAAACACCGCTAGGTCTCCGATTGGTGGGAGGAGTACGTCTACCTCAGCAGCCGGGCCCCGCTGATGAGCAACAGCAATTACTACGGTCTTGATGCCATGTGGGGCCCGCCTGGCTGTCCTACGCAGGCGGCTCGTGCAGCATTCCTCGTCTACCACTGCCTCAAGATTCGTCATGCCATTTACCTTGGCGAGGTTCGTGATCATCTTCTCCTTCATGCTCCGTTTATCCTTGACGTTTAAGTATGTTCCTCGCGATCCAAGTAACAGTCTGGCAGCCTTTTGCTGCAGAAAATTGATCATGGCCCTGATAAAATGTTAGTACAAGCTAAAAACGACACAAAACACTTTTAGTCAAATTATTCGGACCGAATTAAGTGGTAACGTGCATTGTAGGAATCCCGGGAACCACTTCCAGAGGGGGGGGGGACAAAATGAAAACGGTTGTAATGGCTTTGGTAAAAAACAGATCCAGCATCCCGCCAGCTACTGTGCCTATTCGGTCGACCCGATCCAGACATACCACCAACGCATGAGGTTGATTCGCCCTATAGATATCGTCACCTTGAGCGCATAAGTGAAGCTCTGGCCCGATGGCTCAAGGTGACTGAAACACCACTTCGACCAGAGTTGTGAGTGGTACCAATAGAATCACTGTCTGGCAAATTCGACTGCCTATTTGCCAGATTCCGTAGCCAGCTTATCGCAGACCTAGCTTCTATCGGGGACTGTCCTGATGTTCACCTCCCGTGGCCGCAACAGGTTGATCGCTGGTAAGATTAGAAGTAGCGCGATCATTTGCACGACTTTGTTTGGGAATTTTAAAGAGCGTGAGATCCTTCTGAAGTCCTACGGCAGACTTGCGTCTCCTCGTGACTCAATCTACCGACTCCCAGGTTTCCATCATTTCACCTAGTAGTCTGCCGCACGTCAGATCACCATGTTCCTTGACGGTTGGAGTCGCCATGGCGCTGTGAAAAATGCTCAACCGACTACGGCTTAGCCAACCAGATGCTATTCTGTGCAGTGAATATGCATGCACATTTCAATGTTTCTGCTCACTCATTCGGGTCAGAGTATGACATGTCAGCCGTAACGAACAAAGATGTCTGCCATGTGCCCCGCAGCATGGCGGATTCAGGGACGGTGACTTGCTCAACACCTCTTGTTCCTCACCCACCGAACCCGGTGTCAAGACAGAGTCAAGAAGACAGGGGCGAAACCGGACGCAGCTCGTCTGTCCCCTGTCCAAAGGAACAGAGTTTTACCAAAACAACTAAAGAACAGCCTGGATCCTAAATGGGGTCATAGAAGCCATATTAGAGGGTCATTGTGACCTGTTTCTCCGCCCTGCGAGGACCCAGTTACCCCATCAATTGGCAGCCTTCCAAACCCTGGATGTTAGCTCACTGTGACAGTTTAAAAGCGCGTGGGATTGTTTATAATGAGGAATATGAGCTTAGTGTGAGGAGCAGAGTTCGCAGAGTCAACGTCATCCTCTTTTAGATTCCAGTCCACCGCCCGAGTCGGTCAGTCGTCTGATGCGGGGATTGGGCCGGTCAGAGTACAACGGGCTTAAAAAGACATAAAAAGTCTGCAACGGCCTCTGTCTCAATTCTCACGTCTTTGTCTTTCACTGGTCACTTTTCGGCGTAGTGGAAATTCGTTTATTGGTGACGCACATCCCCACAGGCGTTGTTTGTTGGGTTCCGAGGGCGGGGCGGATCAGTGTGACTTTCTTCATATGTGTGTAGTTACCCAACCCGTGTCGACGACGACTGGGGAGGCATCTGTGGTTCGGTGATGCCCCTGGCCCATCCACCAGACGTAGTCCGTGGGCCATCTGGACGTCAATGTGCGTTCCAGCTGTAGGTACGTTTGGGAATTAGTTCCTGTGTAAATAAGGCGTAATGAGTGATCCTGAAACGGCCGCTGTCTTAGTCTCCTCTGTCACGATTTTGGTGACATTTTACAATGATCTTTGTTCTCTTTTGTTTATGCAACGTAAAGTTGTGTTCACTTCCATATAACCTAACGATAACTGTATTCTATTTACCCCTGTTGCTTCACCTCGGTAGATGGAGCCAATCATGCTTCACGGGATCGTTCCGCTCTGCTCCCTCCAGTATGAGCGGCAGTTCAACACCACCCGCATTCCTGAAACCGGCAAAGACGTGCTAGTTCATTGGACCAAATCAGACCACATTGCCGTCTACCATC